CGGGGCCCCGGGGCAGAGGGGCTGCCCGCGCTCCAGGCCGCGCTCCCGGGGAGCCGCCGGAGCTGCCCCTGTCCCGCCGAACGGGGACACGGCCGCGGGGCCCTCGTGGAGGCGGCAGGACAGGACGATGCGTGGGGCAGCCCTGCGAGCAGCCGGGGGCTGCGTTCTCCTCGTGAGGAGATCCAGGGTGGGGGACAGCCTTTAGGGCACGGGGAAGATTTGTTTTAAAAAAGCAGTTTGTGCTCCTGCCAGCTGCTGTTTAAGGCTCTGTCCTGCTCCCTCCCTGCACTGCAGATTAAAGCCTTCCTGGCTCTGTTCATATTACTGGTGTTTGGGCACCTTGCTCTCCCAGACCTTCACTCTTCCCTATTAAGCCTCCAAAAGTTCCTGCACGGGGCAGAGCTAGAATGAGATTTCCCCCTGCATTTCTCCACTGCCCCTGCCTGATTTCACACTATGTGACCACCAACGATGCACACAGGCCCCAACGAGAAAAACAAAACAAACAAGAACATTAAAAAACGCAGCTCACAAAGCTGGCACATGCCAGCTCTCTCCTTCAGCCTCCCCAGACGGATCGCTTCTCAAGGCGGATGCAGGCAGTAACATGTGATGCAAACACAATCTCAGTCTCCCTGCTCGGCACCTCACGTATCTCGGGACAGCTCCGGGTGATCCGTTCTCCCGCCAGCCAGCGCCTCGGGAACGATGCTCTCACATCCGCCTCTCGCCCTGGCAAGGCTCGTCGTTCCAGCTGGCACTTCCAGCAGCCCTTTCACGCAGGCGGCGCGAGCGGCATGGCCCGGCCTTGCAAGCTGGTCACTGCACAGCACCCGCCAGTGCCTTCCACACGGCGGCCCCGCTCCGGCTTCTGCCCTCCAGGCCTGTCCCGTCTGCTCCTTATTAGATCCTACATTCACTACAGTTACCTTCTGTCGGGCATTTCTAATGGATCACCTCCATCCTTACACCAGGTACTCTCACTCCCAGGCTCATTTGGTTCTGGATTATTTTTCTTTAATGATATCCCAGGAGAATTCATGGGCTGCATTTCCTTACCCACACCCATTTCATGCAGGTGCTCATTATCATCACCTTGCCCCAACCATCACCTTCCCATATTCCATCACCTGATCCTGTGGAACTGCCCCTATACTCAGGGTTTTAGCTTACAGGTTGGCATCTCGTTCTCTCTTTCTGCCCTACTGCTGCATTGCATGATGCACAGCAGGATTTCATCTCAGACCTGCATCAAGTGAATTGCTGACGGCCAACCAAGAAAAAAGCGCCCAACCCAGAGAGCGTCACGGTTACGCTGGCTTTTTCATGTGCTTTACCGCAAGGGATCAGACATATATATCATATATAATTATACATATTAAAACAGAGGAATGCAATGGGAATCCCCGAGAACAGTGAGAACGCGGCCATCGCTTCATGCAGAGCTTGGCCACGCTCGCTGCCCTCGCACGCTACGAGGCAGTTTGGGAGAGGCGGCCAAGGGCAGAAGGGCGAGACTCGCTGCTCCCTGCTGACGTGGGCACTCGCCACCGTGGTCTGGAGGCACCAAAGCAGGCTGCCTCTTGGCACACGCACCGCGGGAGGAGGGTAACAGCGTCGTGCTGCGGCGCCAGCGCCGGCCCCTGCCAAAGCGACACATGTTTTGGACTTGGGTCTCTAGTTTCACGGCGCTGCACTCCCTCTTCTTGCTTCTGCAATGGTTAATCCAGGCCTGAAACCAGGCAGCCCCCTGGCAGGGCTGGGGCCTCCACAAAGAGCCTCAGCCAAGGTTGTGGGTCCTGTTCTCTGTCCTCTCCCTGGAAGTTTTCTAGGGAGTGAAGAGGTCAGGAAAGGTGGAAACAGGGAGTGCTGCTTTGGGCCTTCCCAAGCAGGAGCTTCTTCCTGTTTCAAAGGGAAAGGCCAGTGGCTGCAGAGGTGCTGGATGGACCCAGCCTCTGTCGCACCCTCATGGCACATCGTATTTCTCCCAGTTTCCCTGGGAGCAGGAGGCAGGGAAAGGGAGGGCAGTTCTTCCCCTGCCAAGGGCTCACCACGTCTCACGGCCCCTCTGGTTGGTTGTACGTTACCACTGTTGACAACGTCTCCTGGACGTGATCGTTGTGCTAGCAGGCCGTGCAAGATGAGGACACAGATTCCCCGTGCCCGCCCTAAGCCCCTGCCTTTCTTGCCCCTCGGGAGATGCTCAGCACCTCTGGACATGCAGCCCTGTATCACAGAGCTGAAAAAAAAAAATAGATCTCCCAATACAGGGAGGCCATAAGGATTGCCAGTAAGGAGAAGTGATGGACAACCTCAGGGCTTGCAGAGGAAGTGGTTTCTAGTGCTAGTTCCTGGAGAGTTGCAGCTGTTCCTGCTCCTCCTGCATGTCCTGATCCTTCCATTCCCTGTTCTTTAGAGTTCAGAGAGAGATTTGAGATCTATGAGTTTCCTTGTTTAACTTTCACCTCCTCCTTCCTCCCCGCTCCGAGGTCCTTTGACTTGGTCCGAAACAGGGGCAGCCATAGGCCTCACACATGTCAACCAAAGCCACATAGGAGACGTCTGTTTCCCTGCAGCGCCGCAGAGGAGCCCGTGTGTCTCCTCTCACACAGCTGGGCAAGACAAGGCCCAGCAAGCCCAAAGGTGCCGCAGCACCAAGAGCCTCCCAGAGCCCCGGCTAACCCTGCCCTGCTGTTACGCTCTGCAGCGCAGCAGTGGGGCACCCTCAGGCATTGCCACCAGCAGGTACAACCGGATTTTAGAGGAAAAAAAGAGAAAAAAAAGAAAAAAGAAAAAGAAAACAACAACAAGCACGGCAACACTTGTGGTAGAAACTCAAGGTCTGTCCCTGAGATCACTGGGCTGGAAAGCCTGGTTAGCACCGCCAAGCCCTTGCTTTCCGCCAAGCATAGCCGCTGGAACGAGCCCATGTGCTTGGATCAGGCTTCTCTTTGCTAGTAAGCAGCAGCCAGGTCCAGGAGAGATCAAACCGAGGAGAAATTTTAACTGCTTCCTGGCCAGTGTGGATGACCGCAGCCACGTGCCCAAGCGCTGTCGCCAGTGGAAGCGCTGCCGGGAGCCCGTGCACCCGCGTCGCAGCAGCAGGAGAGGGCGGCGCGAGGGCGGGAAACGGCAGCCTCGCTTGGGATGTGGCCTCCAGGGAAACACACTCTGCTGCCCTCTTGAAACCTGGGATCGGAAACCTCAGACAGGAAATTTCTCAAAGCAGTTGCACTGAATCACTATGGGGCCACGTTGAACACTCAGCCCCACAAGCCCGATTCGCTCACAGAACCAGCAAAGGCAGCCTCAGCAGTTATATAAATCTCTTAGGCAGATCCTTTCGAGTATCATTTCTTATGTATTGGCCACGGTCTTACGAAAATGTACCTCACTTATGAATATAGTGCTTAAAAAAAAAAATCCGATACACAAGTCACCCATCTCAGTGAAACCTGGTCGTCAGAGTTTCACAAATATCCCTTCCAGCACCACACGTGCATTTATTTATCTATCATCAGAGCCCCTGCCATCTTAACCAGTCTGACACGCTCTAGCCTGTGTCTTTCTGGTTGCTCTCTACCTTTCCAGCAGCGGGGGATAGGGCAAACACTCTCCGGTGGAGCGTAGCCAGAAAGTCTTTCATTAATGTCTTACTTTTCTGCTCTTTGCCCACCATGTGACCCGGATTGCCATCCTGCCTCCCTCAGCAAGAAAGGGTATTGATAAGTTTAATGGCTGTTGCAAAACCATAGCCATAATGTTCTAAGGTTAACCGGAGCCAAAGCACTCAAGTAACACATCCAGCAACTGTTTTTAGCATTTCCAACTTTCTGGCACAAAAGTCCTTTCTTCTTCAGGCCCCAATTTGAAGCAGATTTCAACCTGGCTGCAGCTGGGGACAGCTGCTCGCAGCTTAGTTCAGCTGGATTCAGAGAAGTCCCTTTTCGGTGTTACCTGTTTGTAAGGGCTGTAATCACCACTTCACTGGCGCTTCAAGCCGGGAGAAGCTGTTGTAATGAGAGCAATACCCGATGCAGGATCAGGAGGAGATAAGGCTGGAGCCATGGGTTTGGGCGGAGGGGAACTGGCCCCATTCAGCCATCAATGGAAGCCTAAAACACCAGTGGCCCCAGGGCAGTGGGGCTAAACTACTCGGCACCACCTTCCTCTGATAAGAGAGATGGTCCACAGAAGAAGATTTAGCTGCTTCAGAGGCAGGAGGGGCGTGTTTTTAGGAGCAGGCATTTTTCCCTTCTCAGAGGCCTCATTCTCATGCTAGGGCCTATGCCTTCAACTTCAAAACCAGAGC